GAGAGCCATGACAACATCCTGAAGGAGAAGGAGAAGGAGAAGGCCATGAAGTACTATTCATATATAATGCTTTTAGTAAAGTACATCTTTCTCGCAGTTTATTATGAATTGTTAAATGTTCTGCTCGATTTTTGGATCTTCCAAATTTGTCATAAAAATCAATCAGATTTTTAAATCTTGACATAGCGAAACTTTTCAATTTTCTACAACTGCTTGTAAAGCACATTAAGCCTCCATTTAACAGTGTTTACGTTATAAAATGTGCAATAGCAAACATTACATTCGTTATTGCCTTTGGCGCCTTTCAGGCTTGAACCTGACCAAAATTTCTAAACGAGGCTCGGCTTGAAAAAACTTATTTGGATACACATTCTCTGGTTGAAATGATAGATAAAACCCTTGTGTGAAAAATGAAAAAGTTAAAATTGGGTAGAAGCAATGAAGATTTTTACTAGAAGTTGAGGAAAAAGAGTTAACGTTATATATATATATATATATATATATATATATATATATATATATATATATATATATATATATATATATATAAGGCTCAAATACTAATATTCCATGGTTATAATTTATTACATTTGAAACGTAATCACGATAAAATTCATCAGACCTAGAAATTGAAAAAAAAAAAAAAAAAAAAACTCTCCTGGACATTGAGTTCTACCTGGATTCTATCCTCTTGGAAATTTATATATATATATATATATATATATATATATATATATATATATATATATATATATATATTGACAATAATATTATCAATATATATATATATATATGTGTGTGCGTGTGTGTTTATGTGTGTCTGCGTGCGTATATATATATATATATATATATATATATATATATATATATATATATATATATATATATAGAGAGAGAGAGAGATGGGGAAATTGTATGACAAAGTGGAATAGTGCCTTAATCGCAAGGTTATCTACAGAAGAAATTAAAAATAAATACATGTGTAGTCCTACCAACATGACAAATTTTGTCCGATGGCGTCCTGAAAGACGAATCGCGTCAGAAGTAAACTTTTTACACTTTGTCGTACAATTTCCCCAATTCTGTTCTTGATATATAAAAATATATACCGTTTTCTCATGTATATATATATATATATATATATATATATATATATATATATATGGGGTACAATATGTACATTTATTGTAGCCATTTGTATCAGTTTTTAAGTTAATGTCTGGCTGCTGTTAGATGTCAAATCTTGCCCAAGACACATTTGTAAGATAATAATTTCAAATTATATTCTTTTTCGCTCAGTTTGAATTTTAACCTAGATCATATTCGATTGGTTGATCAGGGTAAAGCCCTCTAGCCTTTATTTTTTATTTTACTTTATTTTATTTCATTTATTTTTTTAATGAAAATATATTTTGCTTTAGAAACCAAATTAATCGTTTACTCACCAGTAATTTACAATTGCCTGAGAAAACGCATCGTTATATGTTGAAACACGACTGCAATTGTGCAGCGATTCATACATGATTTTGTTGTAATACCTAAAATAATATATATATATATATATATATATATATATATATATATATATATATTAATGAATATACATATCCAACACCGTTTGTACTTCTCGGAGTTTCATGCCAAGCGCCATCTGCAGGTGCTGAGTCTCTACTGACCGTTATTTTAATTAGAAATTATACCAGTTTATCGTTATGCTGGCGCATTATTTGTATAGTGATGTAATATTTTCCAAAACTTTTGGTTAATTTGCAGTGTAATACTCGCACTCAGTTGGTATTAAAAAAAATCCTAAATGCTTACATTTATGTGTAAATGTACCTGCTAATTCCAAAACGTTAGATTTTATCAAATTTATCAAGCCAGATTCGAATGGAGCATGTACATTTACACATAAATATAAGTAGTCTGGAATTTTTTAATGCGAACTGAATGCGGGTGTTACACTGCAAATTAACCAAACTTTGAAAAAATTATATTAAAAAAATATTATATTTCTCATCACAGTAACTCTCGTACCTAACCCAATAGGTATTACCATATGAACATTAAAGATAAGTAATTATTAATTTAATTTTAGAGTGGGGAGTTATCAACTATAAATTATTAATTAGCAATAATGGAAGAGAGCTAACTTAATTAAATTTAATATAAAATAGTAAAATAATTAGAGAAGTATATATATATATATATGTGTGTGTGTGTGAAAAGTGTATATAAATATAAATAAATATATATATGTATAATTATTTATATATTATATGCATAGTACTTATTAGAAAGCGCTCAATATAAGAGATAGAGCTAACATATTTGGTTGGATAGATGTGAGTTTGACAACCCTGGGTTTCACGCTTTGGCGATCGTCAGACAAACAGTCAGTTTGTCTGACGAAACTAACATCTATCCAACCAAATATATATATATATATATATATATATATATATATATATATATATATATATATATATATATATATATATATAAAAAAATCTATATTAAAAGAACCAATAAGTGATAACCCATAATACGTAATAAATGTTAAATAAATAAGTAAATCTTTATTTATTTTTTACTTACATGTTTACATATATACTTACACAAACACACACACACATACACGCACACAAACGCACACACACACAGGAGGATATATTATAAGTAATATATTTTATATTGTAAGTATTTTTCGTTTAATCCAAGTAGAATTTTGTAATTTAATATTGTTTTTATTAACGTTAATAATTGAAGTCTATAATTTATAAACACATAAGGAAAGATATCCATATATTATCCTCATAAATCTTACATATTTACAACCAAAATTATGTTTACTGCAAAAGTTCCCAAAGCACAATATTTTTTGTGCAAACTTTGAAAGGTCTGAGTAATTCTTGACAGTCCGTAGATTCAGTCTGTAATTTCAGAGTCTGCTTATTTGTCGTCCTACTAAGAGCAAAGTATCATCAGATAACATTTTAAATTTTTTTTGTTCCCCCCACTCTTTTTCTTAATTATAATTTTTAAAATTCAAAATGAATTTCTAAAAGTGAACAAAGCGATCTTGAAGGTATAGGTGGCGTATTATATATCCGAACCCTCTTCGATAGCGATATCAGTCCGGGCCGACGGGACCCCACCAGTTAGCACGCCACCGGGTGGTTTCATCTTTATTTTGCACACAAATCCTCAATCGTTACACACACACACACACACACAAACACACACACATACAAAACACACAGACACACACACAAAAAACACACACACATATATATATATATATATATATATATATATATATATATATATATATATATATATATATGGCGTCTTTGTCTACAGTCACCTTCTCACAGACGCCGTCGCCTCCTCTGTCTGTTCTACAAATACTTTCATGGAAATTGTTCCGAGGGCTGCATTCGCTGGTTCCCCAGACGTCATGAGTTCAGCGCGCCTTACGGGGCTGGCATCCTGCTTTCACCCCTTCACTGTCGAAACTCCTAAATGTAGCCGTCTCTTCTACTCTAATAGCTTCATCTCACCTCTCGCCTGTGGAACGGCCTTCCCTATTCTAGTTTCCCTGAGAGCTATAATCTCCAGCTATTCAAGTGTAATGTCAATCGACATCTCCAGTTGCCTTGATCTATCCACTACCCTCATCCTTTCTTCTATCACTCCTATCTGATCTTGCTCTAAACTTTCTTTACTCCTTGCGTCCTAGAGGCTTCCCGCCTTGTTTGGGGTGAAATGCTTAATATATATATATATATATATATATATATATATATATATATATATATATATATATATATATATATATATATGTCTGTGTGTGTGTGTGTGTGTGTGTGTATGTGTGTGTGTGTGTGTAATTTTTTTTTTTTTTTTTTCATTTTTCATTTCAACTTTTGGAAGTAAAGTCTGATGATCAGAACCCTGTTAAAGGGGTTCTGGTGAAATAGCTTTAATACATGGAATCTTAACGTGGTCTGTTTTTTATTCAAACATATCTGCTCTGAATTTTTATTGAGCTCTCTGGATATCATCCTTCTTGGGTCTACCCATACGGATTACCTAAGTTTGCTTAAACTATATATATATATATATATATATATATATATATATATATATATATATATATATATATATATTTGTGTGTGTATGGTGTATTATATATATATATATATAGAGATATTTTGTCTTTCTCGGGGTAGGGGAGAAGAGAATTAAAGTAAATCTGTTCCTCGTTGGGAACAATGGGGAGAAAAAATGAAGGCTTTTAAACGAGTGACTTGTTTTACGGCTGGATTGATAAGCAAACAAAGTAAATCATTTTGTGGATAGAGTCAGCAAATGTCGTTTCTGATAAATCGATATAAAGAATTCGGATCGAACATTAATTTTGTCTGCGAGAAAACAATCGCAGAAACTAATTTCCAGCCAACAGTTTGACTCGTATTACAAGGCCGCAATACGAAGACACAATGGCGATTGTGACTGACATGATTAAAAATATTGATATTCTTTTTATTTTTTTCATCTGCACTTTTTATTTCCCACATTTCTTTTCACTTTGTCTTTTTTTTTATTTTTATTAAATTCGTCATTTTTTCTTCTAACAGTTTTCTAATTTTTTTTTTGTTTTTTTGCCTCTTCTCTGTTATTTATAGGTTTTTCGTGAATTTGCTTGTACAGAATTTGTTTCTGTTTGCATTGCTTCGGTATTTAGTTTCTTATATACTTATTAAGTTCCTTGTTTTTCCCCTCTGCTGACATGATGTTCACGGCGATTGGCTTCACCAGAATAAACAAAATCGTTTTTATCAACGACATTGGCGTTTCCATTTTAGTCATTTTCACTGCTCTGCATTTTATTTATTCATCAAACCTTACGACCATTTTTCCTTACTTATGTATATTTTTTTTTCATTTGTTTACTTTATTTTCTTTCATTCTTTTGTTTTTTATTGTTCCTTCATATGTTAATTATTGATTTTTGTATTATTTTTCTTTCTTTTTTTCTTTCTTTTAAATTTCATTCGGCTCACTTACCTTTCTTCTCTCCTCTCTTTCTTTCTTTTTCTTCCTTTCTTTCATTCTTTTTGCTTGCTTTTCTCTTCTTTCTTTCTTTTTCTTTTTTCTTTTTCTTCTTTGCTTATTTTCTTGCTTGCTCGCTTTTCTCTCCCTCCATTTCTTTCTTTCTTTTTTTCTTTTTTCTTTTTTTTTTTTTTTCTCTTCTTTCTATTTTTTCTTTTCTTCTTTTTTTTTTTCTTGCTTGCTTTCCTTTCTCTCCTCCATTTTTTCTTATTTTTCTTTCTTTCCTTTTCTTTTTTTCTTTCTTTTTGCTTGCTTTTCTCTTCTTTTCTATCTTTTTTTCTTTTTCTTTTTTGCTTATTTTCTTTTTGCTCGCTTTTCTCGCCCTCCATTTCTTTCTTTTTTTTCTTTTTTTCTTTTTTTTTGCTTGCTTTTCTCTTCTTTCTATCTTTTCTTTTTTCTTTTTCTTTGCTTATTTTCTTGCTTGCTCGCTTTTCTCTCCCTCCATTTCTTTCTTTCTTTCTTTCTTTCTTTCTTTCTTTCTTTCTTTTTTGCTTGCTTTTCTCTTCTTTCTATCTTTTTCTTTTTCTTCTTTGCTTATTTTCTTGCTTGCTCGCTTTTCTCTCCCTCCATTTCTTTCTTTCTTTTCCTTCATGCCTTCTTTCTTTCCTACTTCTGTTCTCTTTTTTTTTAATCGTTTCAACGTTGAGGTACAGCTAATGAAAGTGAAAGAGAATCCCTCCCTTTCTCCTTTTCTTTCAATCATTCTTTTCTTTTTTTTTTATATTATTTTCCTTTCATTCTCTCTTACTTTACTTTCTTCCTTTTATTTCTTCCTTGCCTTTTTTTCTTTCTTTCTTCATTCTTTCTTTTCACTTATTTCTTCTCTCTCACTTTCTTTCCTTCTATTTCTTCCTTCTATTTGTTCGTTTCCTTCTTTCTGTCTTTGTTTGTTTGCATTTTTACAATTCATTCTGCACTCATATCTTCTTTAATTTCTCGTTCTTTTTCGTTCGTTCTTTCTTTCTGTTTATTTTTTCACGCTGCTTCTCATCTATCTTTCTTTTCTTTTTTTATTCTACTCTTAACTTCATTTTTTCCTTTTCTTTTTCTGTTCTTTCCATTTCATTTGCGTTTCTTATCTTACTTTCTACCTTTTATCTATTTTTCCTTTGTTTTTTTTCTTTTTTCTCCTTCCTTTCTTTTTTCTATTCATTCTACTCGATTACCTTCCTTATATTCAAGCTTCATTCTTTTCTTTTTTTGTTTTCTTTTTCTTTCTATTTATTTCAGTCTCCCTCCTCTCTGTCCTCCATTTGTATGTTTTTCTTTCTTTCTTTTCAGTTTTTAACATATTTTTTTTTAATTTCTTTAACATTACGTTCATTTCCCCATGTATTCTCCTTTTTTTATTTTTTCATAATTTGTATCAATATTTATTTTATTTTTTATTATAAATTTCACTTCTTCATTTTATGAGTGTTTTCATTTATTTTTCGTTTTTATTTCTCTGACTTCTTGCTTTCTTTTTCTCCTTTATTTTTATTTATTTATTTCCTTAATTTTATCTCTCTTTTTCTCTCTCTCTCTCTCTCTCTCTCTCTCTCTCTCTGTTCACTCTTTGACTATTTCTTCTTGTAAACAAAGAATATTCACCTCCCGTCCAAAATTAAAAAGTCAATATGCGACAGAGAGAGAGAGAGAGAGAGAAAGAAAGTGAGGAAATGTGCGAGTAAAAAAAAACAAAACCAAAAACACAAAACAAAGCAAATTAAAAAGGACTAGACAGGGTTACGTCCCTTAGAGGCACAGATGGGATCTTACAGGATTGATTTTCTTGCACCCTGATACTTAAGGCATCATGCAATGAATGTTCCGCTCGTTACACAAGAATATTTCCCCTTTTGCGACTCATGTGCTGCATAATTGAACCATTGTTTTTATTTTCGCTCCTTTGCCTCTCATACGTCGGCCACGTTTCATAATTTCAACCTTCACTATTATTCTTTGACGGTTGTCATCCAATAAAGATGTTTTTTTCTATGAACCTGGGGTCTTTCTTCAGAGATTAGAGCACTAGAATGGAAACTTCATGCTTACGGTTTGAATATTGATGCTAGATAAAGGAGAAGTTTTTAATGAAATACCCGTTTCTATTTAGTGCATCATAGGTTATCTCCCTTTGTGCCAAGCAGCTTCATCTTTGTAAAATCTGATACCTAACTGCTTAGATAATTTCAATATATAAAAATAACAAGATATCTGTTTAAAGACTAAGTCTAACACTGCTGTAATTCAGGGTTACTTTTTTTCTTCTTTTTCTTTCTTTCTTTTTTCCTTATTTTTTATTTTCTGGTTCCTACCAAGTTTCCACGTACTGATTTAAAATGAAACTTTGGAAGCTCACCGCCTGCAAAACAGAATGAACAAATAAACGATGTGAGTACACAGAAACAAATAAACATAATATTACAAATTAGGAACTCTTTCATGCCATCAGCTTCTACCATTTCCAATTAAAATAAAAGTAAAACAAAACAAAATCATGACAAAGGCAGTACTAACAAAACGAAGAAAAACAAATGGAATGGTCTTCGGAATATAAGAAAGGTGCAGATGTTTTGACAAAAGGTAGCAAACACATGTTTCCCGTTTTATATTATTTTATTTTCCCGTCTGAGAAAAATTATTTCTTTTCCGGACGAAATAAAGCCAAAACAAAAGCTGCACGGAAAATTAGACAAAACTAAACACCATGTTGTCACAAGCGGGATGTATTTGATGGATGTAGGACTGTTTGTTAGGAAGGTTGAGGGTTTTTTTTTTCCTCGGGCTTGTAATAACACAAACCCCTGTTACGAAGTTGGCTAGTCTCAAAATAGGGTAAATACTGATCAATTTGAGCATGGCGCGCTCGTAATTGGATTAAGAGATGGACATCGGCTAAAATGAGTGAAGATTAACTGACGTAGAATGGACAAAATATTTATGTTTTCGGAAGGAAATAAAAATAGAGAAAATTAAGCAGTTTGATGGGGGCTTCTAGAAGGGTAGGAAAAAATAGACTCGTAGGTGAGCTGCTACTCACGCCGCCTGTAAATTTGACAGATAAAAACGGAATAAGTAAGAAAGGAAAGATAAAATGAACGAGGAAAGAAGAAGCTGATGAAGGAAAGCTAGAGAAGGCCTTTATAAATACAAACATAAATATGAAAGAAAAAAAAAGAAAAAAATGCTAACGACAGATATGTGAACGAAAAGATCAGGAAAGATTCTCAATATGAAGAACGGTAAATAAAAAATTTCAAGAAAAAAAACACGAAGAACGAATTAAAGAAACTATGTGGAAAATAAGATTGAGAAAAGAATACTGAAAAGAAACAAAAATTTCAAAGCTCGACAAGATAGAAAGCATCTCAAATATTTTTTAGAATTATTCCCGAAGCATTAATTTTATATATATTTTTTTCTATTTGTTATTACTGTTGCCTGTTTACACGTTGTTGTAATAATAGACACATGAATACTGTCTAGATTTATTAAATTAAACACTGCTATTATTGATTTCTAAATAGTTTTTCTTTGTTCTTAATATTTTTGCATGTTTACACCAAGTAATAGTAATAGACAAAATAATGTTATCTGAATTTCTTAGTTGAAGCATCGCCATTAATAATGTTAGGCTAGGTTTTCTTTCACATGTTCCATGTTTACGCCTCGTAATAGTAATACACATAATTTTTCAATAATGAATAATTATAATTGAGTAATGTTTGAATGTTTTAGATAAGGCCTTTGATATTTCGATGTTTACACCTATTCATAGTGAGACACGGAGAGCAAATTACAAAAACTACTACAGAAGGTAGTGGAAGAAAGCCATAAGAAAGGACTGTACATCAACTTCAAGATGACAGAATTCATGTATGTTAGCAAAAAGGAAAAGCCCAACATGCAAATTACAAATTGGAGATAAACTCAAACAAGTAAAAAAATTTAAATACAGTACAACCACCGGTTCTCGAACGCCTCACATGTCGAACAAATCGGTTTTCGAAGAGAAAATTCTAGATGAAAATGCCTCGGTTATCGAACAAAATTTCGATTCTCGAACAACATTGCCAAACCGAGTTAACCCGAACGGAATCATTTCTGAGTCGACCGCCATGTTGTATACATTTCTATGTTGTGGCGTACTTTTCTTTTCCAATTTTATTGTACTCTGACTTTTTCTTTACATTAATTCCTTTTGGAAAAATAGTTTCGGTTTACGAAAATTTCAGGTTACGAAAGGTATTCAGGAACGAATTAAATTCGTGAACTGAGGTTCCACTGTATCTGGGAAGTGTTTTAACAGAGGACGGAAAGTGCGACATTGAAATCAGAAGTCACATTGAGAAAGCCAATGATACATTCTAAAAGCTAAGCAGAATATTAAGTAACAGAAATGAGTACTCTATGTGATGGCAGTTCTTGTATATGGCAGCGAACGAGGGAAGAAGAAGTTGATGAAGGAAAGCTAGAGAAGGCTTTTATAAATACAAACATAAATATGAAAGAAAAAACAAAAAATAAATGCTAATGAAAGATATGTGGACGAACAAAAAGATCAGGAAAGATTCGCAATATGAAGAACGGTAAATAAAAAATTTCAAGAAAAAAAACACGAAGAATGAACTAAAGAAACTATGTGGAATATAAGATGAAGAAGAGACTTAAAGCAACAGAAATGTGGTTCTACAGAAGGATGATGAGATTACCATGGTCCAAAACTGTGAGTAACGACGAAATTTTGTATAAAATAGCAACAAAAGGAGAACTTATATTAAACGTCTGGAAGAGACAGTTGGACACATAATGAAGGAAGAGGGCTTGGAAAATCTGATACGTACAGAACAGATGGAAGGCAAGAGTGACAGAGGAAAATATATATATATATATATATATATATATATATATATATATATATATATTTATTTGAGCTTGAGTAAATTGATGGTGGAATAAGGTTTAGGAGAAATAACAAAAGAGACAAAATTTATTAAGAGCTAAGAAGGACAGGAAATTGTGGAGAGCCATGATCATCAATATCATGAAGGGACACGAGACATATAGAAGAATCGTAATCAATATAATAGTGTTGTTGTTGGAATATCTCAGATGAAGCATTGTCATTAATAACTTTAGGTTTTCTTTCATATTATTCTTTCATGTCTAGACGGTGGAGTAAATGACACCGGCTCGGATTGAGGAATCGGAGAGCCGCTTTTGAATTCCAGTCGAATCCCTTACATTCACTTACGTGCTAATAACCTTGGGAAAAGTGTGAATCCTTGTCTTCTACCCACAGCTATGGGTAAATAGCAGGAAAGACAGGGTTCTATAGCTTTGAATGGCAACCGCAGAAAGAGATGGCAACCTACTGCGGGGAAAATCTGCCTCGTCAGTCATGTATCGAAAGATACATGATCGCCTAAGCATGTATCACGGATGGAACATAACTAACTGACTATGTAATATAGCAACAACTCTAAGTAGAAGCTTATGAAGTTTTATTTAACTAATTCAGCTTTAGCGCTGAAAACATTTATTATAATAGATGGTTATTTTATTACCACAGCCTGGTAATAGTAATAATGTTGTTTAAATGTTTTTTACAGGGCATTGATACCTCGATTTTACATTGTATGACCGCCAATTAAGAAGTAGGGGTCAGATATAAAGAATTAAATACTGGTGTGATTTTAAATCTCATCCATACAAGTCAAAGTCATCCACATAAGTGTTGTGGATTCCGAGATGAAATTCGGTCTCCAATGAATGACAAACGCAAAATTAAATATAAGAAATTAAATGTATTTACAATGGGTAATACTGTTAGTAAAGGAAAGCTAGCAATAATATATATATATATATATATATATATATATATATATATATATATATATATATATATATATATATATATATAAATATAAATAACTAGTCTCGTTTCGAAAAAACCCTCGAATTTTTGATTTGCTAATCAAATCAATCTCGAGGAAAAAAGGTTTTAAAAAAAGAAGAGCTACAAACATGAACTGCCGACAAAAAAAATCGCACAGATGCAGGTCTGAAGCCCAAAGAAAAAAAACCCGATACGAGTAACAACTAACTAACAAAAGAGCTCAATACAACCGTAGAGCAGACCTAGATACACCTAGTGAGCCAGACAAACCTACCTAGGTTTCACCTAAACGGATCGTCAGGGAAAGTTTGTCTGGCTCACTAGGTATATATATATATGTATATATATATATATATATATATATATATATATATATATATATATATATATATATATATATATATATATATATATATATATCAAGAGGACTTCCTTAGAGTCAACGTGCTTGTAACTGACTTCTACAAGCGGTTACCTCACACTATTACTCTACCTCCAACTCAATCACAATCTCTGGTCACTCTCTCTATCCAGACTAACTCAGGGTATTTAACGGCAGCAGTCCAAGTAACACTCTGGTCGAGTCCACTTATATGAAAAAGGGGAGGACCACATAACAATATGTCAAATATATAATTCACTAATTGTATTTGTAAGTTTTTTGTTGTATTAGAGTAATTTCGCTTGCAATGGT